CCAGGTAGAGTGGCGTGCGACCAGGCCAGGTAGAGTGGCGTGCGACCAGGCCAGGTAGAGTGGCGTGCGACCAGGCCAGGTAGAGTGGCGTGCGACCAGGCCAGGTAGAGTGGCGTGCGACCAGGCCAGTTACACTGGCGTGCGACCAGGCCAGGTAGAGTGGCGTGCGACCAGGCCAGTTACACTTGCGTGCGACCAGGCCAGTTACACTGTCGTGCGACCAGGCCAGGTACACTGTCGTGCGACCAGGTCAGGTACACTGTCGTGCGACCAGGTCAGTTACACTGTCGTGCGACCAGGCTACAGTCGTGCGACCAGGCCAGATACACTGTCGTGCGACCAGGCCACATACACTTGCGTGCGACCAGGCCAGTTACACTGTCGTGCGACCAGGCCAGTTACACTGTCGTGCGACCAGGTCAGGTACACTGTCGTGCGACCAGGCCAGTTACACTGTCGTGCGACCAGGCCAGTTACACTGTCGTGTGACCAGGCCAGGTACACTGGCGTGCTACCAGGCCAGTTACACTGTCGTGCGACCAGGCCATGTACACTGTCGTGCGACCAGGCCAGGTACACTGTCGTGCGACCAGGCCAGGTACACTGTCGTGCGACCAGGCCAGGTACACTGTCGTGCGACCAGGCCAGGTACACTGTCGTGCGACCAGACCAGTTACACTGGCGTGCGACCAGGCCAGGTACACTGGCGTGCGACCAGGCCAGGTACACTGGCGTGCGACCAGGCCAGGTACACTGGCGTGCGACCAGACCAGTTACACTGGCGTGCGACCAGGCCAGGTACACTGGCGTGCGACCTGGCCAGGTACACTGGCGTGCGACCAGGCCAGTTACACTGGCGTGCGATCAGGCCAGGTAGAGTGGCGTGCGACCAGGCCAGTTACACTGGCGTGCGACCAGGCCAGGTAGAGTGGCGTGCGACCAGGCCAGTTACACTGGCGTGCGACCAGGCCAGTTACACTGGCGTGCGACCAGGCCAGGTAGAGTGGCGTGCGACCAGGCCAGGTAGAGTGGCGTGCGACCAGGCCAGGTAGAGTGGCGTGCGACCAGGCCAGGTAGAGTGGCGTGCGACCAGGCCAGTTACACTGGCGTGCGACCAGGCCAGGTAGAGTGGCGTGCGACCAGGCCAGTTACACTGGCGTGCGACCAGGCCAGTTACACTGGCGTGCGACCAGGCCAGGTAGAGTGGCGTGCGACCAGGCCAGTTACACTGGCGTGCGACCTGGCCAGGTACACTGGCGTGCGACCAGGCCAGGTAGAGTGGCGTGCGATCAGGCCAGGTAGAGTGGCGTGCGACCAGGTTAGTTACACTGGCGTGCGACCAGGCCAGGTAGAGTGGCGTGCGACCAGGCCAGTTACACTGGCGTGCGACCAGGCCAGTTACACTGGCGTGCGACCAGGCCAGGTAGAGTGGCGTGCGACCAGGCCAGGTAGAGTGGCGTGCGACCAGGCCAGTTACACTGGCGTGCGACCTGGCCAGGTACACTGTCGTGCGACCATGCCAGGTAGAGTGGCGTGCGATCAGGCCAGGTAGAGTGGCGTGCGACCAGGCCAGTTACACTGGCGTGCGACCAGGCCAGGTAGAGTGGCGTGCGACCAGGCCAGGTAGAGTGGCGTGCGACCAGGCCAGGTAGAGTGGCGTGCGACCAGGCCAGGTAGAGTGGCGTGCGACCAGGCCAGGTAGACAGGTAGAGTGGCGTGCGACCAGGCCAGGTAGAGTGGCGTGCGACCAGACCAGGTAAGAGTGGCGTGCGACCAGGCCAGGTAGAGTGTCGTGCGATTAGGCCAGGTAGTGGCGTGCGACCAGGTCAGGTAGAGTGGCGTGCGACCAGGCCAGTTACACTGTCGTGCGACCAGGCCAGTTACACTGTCGTGCGACCAGGCCAGTTACACTGTCGTGCGACCAGGCCAGTTACACTGTCGTGCGACCAGGCCAGTTACACTGTCGTGCGACCAGGCCAGTTACACTGTCGTGCGACCAGGCCAGTTACACTGTCGTGCGACCAGGCCAGTTACACTGTCGTGCGACCAGGCCAGGTACACTGTCGTGCGACCAGGCCAGGTACACTGTCGTGCGACCAGGTCAGGTACACTGTCGTGCGACCAGGTCAGTTACTCTGTCGTGCGACCAGGCTACAGTCGTGCGACCAGGCCAGATACACTGTCGTGCGACCAGGCCACATACACTGGCGTGCGACCAGGCCAGTTACACTGTCGTGCGACCAGGCCAGTTACACTGTCGTGCGACCAGGTCAGGTACACTGTCGTGCGACCAGGCCAGTTACACTGTCGTGCGACCAGGCCAGTTACACTGTCGTGTGACCAGGCCAGGTACACTGGCGTGCTACCAGGCCAGTTACACTGTCGTGCGACCAGGCCATGTACACTGTCGTGCGACCCGGCCAGGTACACTGTCGTGCGACCAGGCCAGGTACACTGTCGTGCGACCAGGCCAGGTACACTGTCGTGCGACCAGGCCAGGTACACTGTCGTGCGACCAGACCAGTTACACTGGCGTGCGACCAGGCCAGGTACACTGGCGTGCGACCAGGCCAGGTACACTGGCGTGCGACCAGGCCAGGTACACTGGCGTGCGACGAGGCCAGGTAGAGTGGCGTGCGACCAGGCCAGGTACACTGGCGTGCGACCTGGCCAGGTACACTGGCGTGCGACCAGGCCAGTTACACTGGCGTGCGATCAGGCCAGGTAGAGTGGCGTGCGACCAGGCCAGTTACACTGGCGTGCGACCAGGCCAGGTAGAGTGGCGTGCGACCAGGCCAGTTACACTGGCGTGCGACCAGGCCAGTTACACTGGCGTGCGACCAGGCCAGGTAGAGTGGCGTGCGACCAGGCCAGGTAGAGTGGCGTGCGACCAGGCCAGGTAGAGTGGCGTGCGACCAGGCCAGGTAGAGTGGCGTGCGACCAGGCCAGTTACACTGGCGTGCGACCAGGCCAGGTAGAGTGGCGTGCGACCAGGCCAGTTACACTGGCGTGCGACCAGGCCAGTTACACTGGCGTGCGACCAGGCCAGGTAGAGTGGCGTGCGACCAGGCCAGGTAGAGTGGCGTGCGACCAGGCCAGTTACACTGGCGTGCGACCTGGCCAGGTACACTGGCGTGCGACCAGGCCAGGTAGAGTGGCGTGCGATCAGGCCAGGTAGAGTGGCGTGCGACCAGGCCAGTTACACTGGCGTGCGACCAGGCCAGTTACACTGGCGTGCGACCAGGCCAGTTACACTGGCGTGCGACCAGGCCAGGTAGAGTGGCGTGCGACCAGGCCAGGTAGAGTGGCGTGCGACCAGGCCAGTTACACTGGCGTGCAACCTGGCCAGGTACACTGGCGTGCGACCAGGCCAGGTAGAGTGGCGTGCGATCAGGCCAGGTAGAGTGGCGTGCGACCAGGCCAGTTACACTGGCGTGCGACCAGGCCAGGTAGAGTGGCGTGCGACCAGGCCAGTTACACTGGCGTGCGACCAGGCCAGTTACACTGGCGTGCGACCAGGCCAGTTACACTGGCGTGCGACCAGGCCAGGTAGAGTGGCATGCGACCAGGCCAGGTAGAGTGGCGTGCGACCAGGCCAGGTAGAGTGGCGTGCGACCAGGCCAGGTAGAGTGGCGTGCGACCAGGCCAGGTAGAGTGGCGTGCGACCAGGCCAGGTAGAGTGGCGTGCGACCAGGCCAGGTACACTGGCGTGCGACCAGGCCAGGTAGAGTGGCGTGCGACCAGGTCAGGTAAAGTGGCGTGCGACTAGGCCAGTTACACTGTCGTGCGACCAGGCCAGTTACACTGTCGTGCGACCAGGCCAGTTACACTGTCGTGCGACCAGGCCAGTTACACTGTCGTGCGACCAGGCCAGTTACACTGTCGTGCGACCAGGCCAGTTACACTGTCGTGCGACCAGGCCAGTTACACTGTCGTGCGACCAGGCCAGTTACACTGGCGTGCGGCCAGGCCAGTTACACTGGCGTGCGGCCAGGCCAGTTACACTGGCGTGCGGCCAGGCCAGTTACACTGGCGTGCGACCAGGCCAGTTACACTGGCGTGCGACCAGGCCAGTTACACTGGCGTGCGACCAGGCCAGTTACACTGGCGTGCGACCAGGCCAGTTACACTGTCGTGCGACCAGGCCAGTTACACTGTCGTGCGACCAGGCCAGTTACACTGTCGTGCGACCAGGCCAGTTACACTGTCGTGCGACCAGGCCAGTTACACTGTCGTGCGACCAGGCCAGTTACACTGTCGTGCGACCAGGCCAGTTACACTGTCGTGCGACCAGGCCAGTTACACTCTCGTGCGACCAGGCCAGTTACACTCTCGTGCGACCAGGCCAGTTACACTGGCGTGCGACCAGGCCAGGTCGCACCCGGGTACCGACCTGGCCCGGTACCCAGGTATGCGACCAGGTCAAGTAATGTTCTCATTTTGACCAGGCTTCCTCCCCCCCCCCCTTCCGTTGCACGAGTCGAAGCTTTATAAACTACATTTATCAACGAGCTGTTGATTTATCAACGTTATCATTTAAGGAACTGTCTTCAAGTGAACACATTTTCTGTAGTTGAGTAAAACTAGCTCGTGGATACTGTTATAGCTGTAGGTGGTTAAAGCTCTCATCTGAACTTAATGTGATAGCAACTTGGGCAACTTTGGGTGTGCCTTGGAACTCTAAGTTAATGTTCATGAGTATTGAGCGTTTGTGCACCAGGAATGCTCACTCAACAGTTATCGATTTTCTTGTAACTTAATCAAGTGTTTAACTAATTTGGTACAGGTAATTACTATATAGTGTTTAACTGAGAAAAGACTTTTGTTGCTATATCTTCGTGATAAATGACTGTTTAGTATGTAATTACTTCCCAGTTAAGCTTGTTCGTAAAGAGTGCATTCATGTACTTGTTTGTGGACACTTTTAACATACGATTTATGTATATACAGTATAGGTATGTGTATATTTTTTGTAACTGATGTATAATTCTTTGTTTCAGATTGTTGCCGGCTATGAAGTGGCGTGTTGGAGCGTTAACGTTTTGTGGAGTATAGCAGTGAAGTGTTTGGATGGTTGGTACAATGTTGCCTCGCAGTGTGGTGTTAGGGCTTGTGGGTGTGGCCCTCGTGGTCGTGCTGGCCAACGTGTGTGTTAGTGCAGAGGTCTTGCCCGAAGTGATGTACAATGTGGCCGTACCGCACGATGTTGTCCCTGCACATATTGTGTACAAGATCAAATTAAAAGCTGGCCAAACCGTGAATAAGTTGATGGATAGTGAGTACTCAGATTACTTTGCTGTGCTGGATAATGGTGATGTTATGACTGTGGCCAAGCTGGCCCCACTCTTAGGCCGCATTGTTACACTCAGGGCCTCCACCAGTTACCCAAACGGGAACGTTCAGGTCTATGTCATCAAAGTGGCCATCAAGGATCGTCAGACGATGTTACGATTCCTCAAACCAGAGTACGATGCTGCTGTTTACGAGAACATGCCTCCTGGAACTGAACTCCAAGGCCTGGATGACCTGGAGGCTATGGGCGAGGAGGACGTAAAGTACGAGCTCCTCGGTGGTCACTCTGTCTTCGCTCTTCACCACGTCGGCGGAATCCCAACGGTGGTCACAAGGAAACCACTAGATCGAGAGGCTGAAGATTTATACGAGTTGGTATTAAGAGCTTACGACAAAGAAGGCATGGACATGGCAAAAGCTAAGATCAATGTTCATATTTTGGACATGAACGACCATGCTCCGGTTTTTACACAGAACGTGTTTTACTTCTTCGTCCCCCTTAACGTTACTCGATTTGACAAAATAGGTCGTGTAACCGCCCATGACGGAGACAGGGACAAGGTTGTTTATCGCTTAGCCTACCCGTCCAACACCTTCACCGTCGTGCCACAGACTGGAGAGATAATGCTAATAGAGGCTCCAGAAACCTTGGTATACGAATTGGAGCTGGAGGCCTTTGATAAGCGGAAACCCACGCTCTACTCGGACACCTTGGCTAAAGCTCATATCGAGTTCCGCTATCCTAGCGATTCCCTGTTCACTGGGGAAAGCAACGACATAGATTACGACGTGTACCCAGAGCACGCCATGTCTAAGCGCAGTGCCAAAAAGAGAGTCAAGCGAGGTCAGCTCCGCCATACAAAGGAGCTGGTGTTCTCTGAGGCTGACGGAGCCGTCGAGGGCAAAGTCGTATTCCAACTCGAGAAGGAAATTCAGTGGGAAACATTTAAAATCCGCGATGATAACCCTTGGGTTGAAGTTGACACTAACGGTGCGGTGAGAATCAAGAAGAAATGGGACTACGAGGAGCTAGGCCCCGAGAAGACGATCGACTTCTGGGTCACCATCACAAACAACGATCGTAATGGTAAGTACTCCATGATTTATTTATAGGGAGCGTTAGAAAATATACCATGACAACCAGTTAAAGTATGGAGGAGGATATATATAATTTGGGCTAGTCCAAGCAAGCAAGTGCCCTAGATCAAAAGACGATTCTTTCATTAGATTACCTGACCTGCATGTGTACAATATTTAGATTTGTTTGATATCTTTCAAATTGTATAAAGTGTATAAAGGTATCTTTATACATTTATATAGATACCTGTCTTTGGCGTATAGTGTCTCCTATTAAGAGTTTTGTTAGTAATTTTCTAGAGTAGCTGTATTATTTGCAAATATCAATAATTTCTATAATTTTTCATTTATCAAAAGTAGCATTATAATACATGGATTGAAAGGTTCTGCATCTAATAAGATTACTGTATTATAAGTAGCCTAGGTTGTTAGAGCCATTTCCCATTCAACTTGTAAAGAGTTCATCTTGACCGAACTCTACCAACCAAAACACATTGGACATGAACCTATAGTGTCATATATTATTGCTAGGGTTAGGTTACGAGGCCCCGTGAAATGCATTACGTATATATTTTACCATCGCTAACAGTTTGCTATGTAGATTGCAATCAATGAAAAAATACATGAATCATTGATAATATCACGATTTTATAAATCTTGAGTTTTATAGTTTGAAAACCCGTATATAATGCACTTAAATGGTATACTGTACATTGAAGTTGGTACTTAATGTATATTGCATACTTATAATATTTTTTCCAAAGCCACAGAAAATACCAGTGCCTACCAATATTAGCATTTTATACAATAATAATAAAAATAGAAAAATACAGCTCGGCATTGCTAGAATGATTTCAATACTTTATATGGCAAGAAACGACAAAATTTTAGTGTTACGTGCGTGATAGGGAGTTGAAAAATAGGCGCACTAGACTCCTTTTTTCCTGGTGAACTAGTGCTTAGTTACATGTTCAGAGTTAGTTGTATACGCTACTGTACATACAGTATTTTCTTCAATATACTGTATATCATTATTAACAGATCGCTTGGCTTTTGGAAAGTAAATGGTCATATATGTAAGTGAATCTGATTGTTCTTTTTGCTCAGAATAACAACTTAGTTTAAATTTAAAATGGTTGGAGAAATTGGTATGAGAGTAAGTAATTACAGATGATTTAGGTGGTGAGATGGGGGCAGATTTTGTTGCTGGTCGTTTCAAAACATGTTTCAGACCAGCTGCTGGTCTTCTATACACATCTTGAGCTTTCTATCAACAAGTATTAGTCAGTTCCGGACTATTGCAGCGTTTCCTGCTTGGCTAGATCATTCATGATGACGCGTGATGGCATGAGGGTGCTCGAGTGTGCCTGAGACTGCATGAGACTAGGCTACATCCTCTAGGCTATATAGCCTTCCGGGCTTGGTGCATTCTTTTCGTAATTAATTACTTAGAGTACATCCCGTCTGGTACCTGCTTAGTCATCTTGCGTCATGTGCATTGACTTATTTAATGTTTATATATTTGTAAATCTTTGTTCGTGTTTTGTTGTTGCCTAAGGTATCTTAATATGGCGTGTAACCCAGTTATTAAAATCTCAGTTATGACAGTTGAGAATGTCAAATAAATGTAGGCCTAAATTGACAAATTGAATTGACAAATTACTGAAAATTGACTGACAAAAATGTTTTATCTAAATTGGGGCTTTTAAACTTTTGAACTGTTTACCTCCTAAGTGAAATCACTCAAGGCGTGTGTTGTTCATAAGACGAATATGAGGTTAATGTGATAATTAATGAATTGTTTGTACGTGTTTCTTAGTGTGACGAAATTGGTTTACATTGCTGCTAATCCCTATGTACTGTGTAAGATACGGTGGATGGATGGGTGTCATATTTCAAGTATCCTTATTTTTTCCAATAGCCTTCTGCAGTATTGGTTCCAGATTTGTGCCTCCCCTCCCCGTGCCGGGTCGTGGGGTGATTGATATAAACGCCAATTCTTTTTGATCATGGGCTAGGGTGGGTAAATTGTGACGGGGAAGGATTATGGGAGGGTCATGTTCACTTTAGAGTTCATACTTGGTTGTATGATACTGAAATGCTGTTTAATATAAGAATGTGATCAGTGTTGCGCCATGTCCCATGTTTATTAATAAACACAATTAACCACAAGGTTAGTGGTTATTTGGGGGTGGGGGACCTGACAGCTGAGTGGACAGCACTTTGGATTCGTAGTCCTGAGTTCCGGGTTCGATCCCCCGGTGGAGGCGGAAACAAATGGGCAGAGTTTCTTTCACCTTGATGTCCTCTGATACCTAAAAGTAAATAGGTACCTGGGAGTTACAGCTGCTACGGACTGCTTCCTGGGGGTGTGTAACAAAAAGGAGGCCCGGTCGAGGACCGGGCCGCGGGGACGCTAAGCCCCGAAATTATAAGATAACTTCAAGATAGTGTTTCAGTCCTTGTAGGAAAAAGGTTGGCCGGTTGTAAGTCCAGGTACACACCTTATAGTTGCTCCTTGAGTGATCTGTTAGTTTTTAGTGTTTTCTTAAATGTATCTCGTTAGCTGGTGACTTAGGATTTGGATCTAATTTGGAGGGAAGGTTAACAAATCCTCTTGACTTTTATGTTAAGTTACTTAGAACATCTGGTTATGAAAAGTACGTGTATACGTCATTTGATGTTTTGTCGGGACACCTCGACCAGTTTGGTACATGGTGGGGCACCTCGACCAGTTTGGTACATGGTGGGACACCTCGACCAGCTTGGTACATGGGTGGGGGACACCTCGACCAGTCTGGTACATGGGGGGGGGCACCTCGACCAGTTTGGTACATGGGGGGCACCTCGACCAGTTTGGTACATGGGGGGGGGGACACCTCGACCAGTTTGGTACATGGGTGGGGGACACCTCGACCAGTTTGGTACATGGAGCACCTCGACCAGTCTGGTACATAATTTGGTAAATATCCATAACGTATTCTAATGTTATTCATAGCTTACATAACGAATATCTGCAAACTAAATTACTGTTAGAATAACCCAGCTTGTTGGTATAGACCAGAGAGTTTGTTATACTTACGTAGACTCGAAACACAACTAATTTGTTTGATGAGAGGTTACCAAGAAATTTTAGTTTCAGACCCATTAGATAGAGTGAATAGAGCCTCGGGAGTGTTTTTAAAAATATTGGCCAGGTATGTGAGCAATTACATTACATATACTGTACATGCCTTTGTGATTGCAAATGAGCAACGGCAGCCGGTAACAAGAGAAGGAGCGTGCTGGGAGCGTTGTCCCGGGGCTCGCTCAAAGCAAGTAGTGAGTCATGTACTGAGCTAGTTGACGGGATCAGAAGTTCATGATGGCTGTAATGTCTTTATCTTGTGATCCTTGTGTATATTTTCTTGGGTACAGACGATAACGTGTCATACAACTATTGACAATTTTGTTATTAGCAGTATTTACTGATGTATACGTAGTGTAAACTATTCATAAAGGGAAGACACATCAACATTCCATCAAGGCTCAGCGTCCAATAAAGAGTCGAAGGAATGAATCGATGGTAGGCTGGTAGAGGCAATGTTGTAATTATAATGAATAAGAAATAGTGCAAGTTGTGTAGGACAATGGTGATATCCGTACAAGATCCTTTCCGGCAGCCTAATGCATTGTCTAAACATATATTACTAATGAGTATTTGTTTTATAAAACAGATTTGTTAACAAAATTGTTGCTGTTATCGGTGATATGTGAACGAAGCGTAACAATGGTTCTATTTACTCGAACTTGGGCACAGCGTGCGTGTGTGTGTGTGTGTGTGTGTGTGTGTGTGTGTGTGTGTGTGTGCGTGTGCGTGTGCGTGTGTGTGTGTGTGTGTGTGTGTGTGTGTGTGTGTGTGTGTGTGTACTCACCTCACCTAGTTGTGTCTGCAGGATCGAGCATTGACTCTTGGATCCCGCCTTTCGAGCATCGGTTGTTTACAGCAATGACTCTTGTCCCATTTCCCTATCATACCTGGTTTTAAAATTATGAATAGTATTTGCTTCCACAACTTGTTCCTGAAGTGCATTCCATTTCCCCACTACTCTCACGCTAAAAGAAAACTTCCTAACATCTCTGTGACTCATCTGAGTTTCAAGCTTCCATCCATGTCCTCTCGTTCTGTTACTATTCCGTGTGAACATTTCGTCTATGTCCACTCTGTCAATCCCTCTGAGTATCTTATACGTTCCTATCATGTCCCCCCTCTCCCTTCTTCTTTCTAGTGTCGTAAGGCACAGTTTCCTCAGGCGCTCCTCATACCCCATCCCTCGTAGCTCTGGGACGAGTCTCGTTGCAAACCTCTGAACCTTTTCCAGTGTCATTATATGCTTCTTCAGATGGGGACTCCATGATGAGGCGGCATACTCTAAGACTGGCCTTACGTAGGCAGTGTAAAGCGCCCTAAATGCCTCCTTACTTAGGTTTCTGAATAATGTTCTAACTTTTGCCAGTGTAGAGTACGCTGCTGTCGTTATCCTATTAATATGTGCCTCAGGAGATAGATTAGGTGTTACGTCCACCCCCAGGTCTCTTTCACGCGTCGTTACAGGTAGGCTGTTCCCCTTCATTGTGTACTGTCCCTTTGGTCTCCTATCTCCTAGTCCCATTTCCATAACTTTACATTTGCTCGTGTTGAATTCTAGTAGCCATTTCTCTGACCATCTCTGCAATCTGTTCAGGTCCTCTTGGAGGATCCTGCAATCCTCATCTGTCACAACTCTTCTCATCAACTTTGCATCATCCGCAAACATCGACATGTAGGACTCTACGCCTATAAACATGTCGTTAACATATACAAGAAATAGAATTGGTCCCAGCACCGATCCTTGTGGTACTCCACTTGTTACTGTTCGCCAGTCCGACTTCTCGCCCCTTACCGTAACTCTTTGGCTCCTTCCTGTTAGGTAGTTTCTTATCCATGCTAGGACCTTTCCCCCCACCCCTGCCTGCCTCTCGCGCTTGAAC